ATGACAAGAGCTAGTTCCCACTGTCCATGCAAGAACTTCCCAGATTACAATGCTCAAAGCATAGACGTCGGCTCGCTTGTGGGACTCGAAACAGAAAGGCAACATGTCGTTATCCAGAATCTGAAATAAACAAAGGCTTTTGGTAAGACAATGAAATTCACTCTTAGCACATAGGCAAAGATTCATGAAAATAATTTAATTTCATGTTACTTCCAGCTTTAAGTCTCTCTGCCTGTCTGTGCAACGTAACGTAGGCACTCAAATAATGGAGGCTCACCGCGGGTGTTTACAGTTTCCCACACCCAGGAGGACAGATAGAGTAGGTCACCAACTTAAATGACGTTTCATTCTTTTTCTTCAGAAGTAACCTTATACAAATCGGATTTAATCAGTTGGAAATTATCCCTGCCTGATTAAAGAGGGATTTCAATCTCAGACACGTGTGAAGTAATTCAATAATCAATAATTAATTATGTGAAGGCCCCGGAAATGTACTTTTAATATTCAGTTCTCTTCACTGGCCAAGTTATTCTTGGTATTCACAAGCATTAGTCAGGGTGAACCAATATGCTTTCTTTATCTTGAGAGCCTTTTCACGATATCAGAGAGTTATGATGACTGATTATTTCTGCGTCTCTCCAATGATTGGCTATAAGGCATGTGAGGGGAATATTTTAGGAAACACTACTAGGCATAAGCCAATTTTACGAGTTTAAACATATGGTCGGTAGAAGCGCATTAACCTCATTCATTATAAAGATATTACAATTGTGATAGAATGATTCTAATTCAACTCACTTCTGGAGCCATATAGACTGGTAGACCCACTTGAAGGCCACAAACAGGCCACCAGTTTGGATATAGAGGAGTAGTGGAAATTTGGATTCGATTGTCTCCATCAGTGGACAGTCCAAATGACTCTGAGGTAGAAGACAAAGCACTTGAATCTTGGTGGTCTGTTGAAGGACCAGATTCGACGAGATAGGTCTCGTAGGCCAGCAGTAGTTGTTCCATGGGCAAGGGAGGTGGAGAGGGCAGAGCACAGAGGCCGTATTCCAGTCCTCCAACACAGGCTGTGATGCCGTCTGCCTTGAGGTAAATGTTCTCAAGACAAATATTTCGGTGTGCTAATGCTGGTCTACCACGAGTTCCTGCCATATCTGTAGGTAAATGGACATTAGTTTGCATTGATATGAAGGAGTTTAGTAGACCTATCACGAAGGCAATTTAAAATCATGGAATCGTTTCTAGATTAGATTACAAAGCTTCCAAACTTGTATATCTTTCACTATCTTAAACCAATCTAATAAAATATTCCGAGAGTGCCTCTCTAATTGAGTTCATAGTGCTTAACAATGGCAAATTACTAAAAATTGTGCTGTTTTGTTCGTATTCCGAAGCCGAGGTGATTTAGATACACATCTACAAATCTAGAATTCGTGAGATCTATGGTCATCTCTGATCAACCACTAATTAGTTGCGTTTAGTAAGCAGGAATATAGAGCGCGAGATGCTCATTATAGTGTCCCAAGGATGGTTCCCCTCTTCCAGAAGCAAGTATTCGGGAATTTGTAAGTCGTAAAATAAAAGAAATGTTTAAAATTCAAAAAAGGTAAACCGAACGAAACTAGCATTTACCCAAAATAAAGCTTTCAAAACTGATTAAAATAAAAATTAGCATTCATTGGCAAAGACGAAAAAACAAAAATTAAAGTTTGCAAATATATTCGTCTGGCTAATGGCTGGAGACTGATAAAATTAACGGTTACACGAAGCAGCAAAATGCCTGCACTGAACTGAATAAATAACAATTTTAAATTTCAAAAGTTCACTGACCAGATCTACTCTCTCCATAAAAGCAAAACCTTAAAGCAATGTGCTTACTAAGTGTTATAGACAGACTAGAAAGAATTGATGGCAAGTGACGTCTGTTCACACCACAAATTCACACCACCGTGTTATCCTTCTACTGAGCGCCCCACCTCCACCACCCGCGCACTACTTTCCGACTGCCACTGTCTGAGCTGTAAGACAAGATCAGTAGGGCGAATTGAATAGAAGGGCACTCGCCAAACCAATGCAGATAGCACTACCGAGGAAAGGAACTATGGAAGTGTCGGTAAAATAAAATGCCACATGCTACTGCTTATATGCCCTTTAGTGTCCATGGGGGGGGGGGGGGGGGGGGGGGGGGGGGGGGGAGGGGTGCGTACAAACCCCAACGCGTTAGCAGGCTGAGATGAGGGGTGTTGATCTAGGTCACTTAGGCAGGGTAGCGGTGTGCAGGCCCTATGTGCGCTTAGCTATGCCGTCGATGTCCTTGTGGTGAAATTAATTTAATATCCATCTGCATGTTACCGTTTCTACACTGAATCTTTCATTAATTACTGTTGCCTAATAAATGGACAAGCTGGATTTGCAAAATGCAACTCCACAACAGAAAAGAACCCAGAGGGGGGAGGGAGGGGAAGGGTGAAAAGATCGAGAAAATACCGGACGATTTATTATTATACTTATTGATCTATTTAGACGTAAGATTTGGAACATAGCCATCATGAATGTTATTACTACTGCCTCTCACTGAGGAACGGATATTTAGCCAGAATGACCTCTTGACTACAACGTGCTGTCGCAAGCACAATCTACTATTTCAAATTATAGACCCTTTATCTTCAAAGATGAGCCCGCATATCCTGATTGTCTCCATCTCATCTGCGCTGCCGAAATGTCGTTGTGTTGTCAATCCCATAGTATTGAGAGTGATATCGTATCTAAATCAAATCAGACCATTTATGATATAGTAAATAACCGATTATAATTGGATCTAATCGTATTGCAATTAGCCGAAAACTGAAAATACTCATTAAACTTTTAGCACAATTATCATGTGATTGATCAGAGGATAGATATTGTACTATCGCGTCAAGGAAAGCATGTTTCGCCTACCTATTAGGAGTGTATGTGCGGGTGATAAATTGGTCGTCACGCTTGGCTGCAATGTGCGAGGTCAAGGGCTCGATTTTCATCGACACATAGAGGGTGAGACGCTCCAATTCATTCTCAATATCCAAGATAGGTGTTGATAAGATGGACCTGGTAGCTATAATTACTTTGCTTATTATTATTGATTCCCCTTGTACTCTAATTAAGTAGTCGAAAAATAACAGCCTGTTTATCTCTTTACGCGCTTAAACAGTTTTCAAAGTGTCATTTTATTCAAAGTTCAGTAGCAAGTTGTTCAAGTACAAAGGTGGCGAAGAATTATTATAAAAGAGCAAGTTCATATTGGTGCAATGGCCTTCGAAAACTATGTCGAAAATTCAAGGCCATTTTTTTCTAAAATAAAGTCCAAGGCAGTCTTAGACGCTGTATGCGAGTGTCTATGGGTTTACCGAAGTCAAAATAAGACCCCAATCTGCACTTATTCTTCAAATGATCTACTTTGTTTAGAAATATGATCAGGAAAATTAGCTATCAGAATTCCCTGCCTCCCTGAATTAGTGACGAATAAAGACACTTGCACTCAACATGCCACTGCAGTTTAAATGTCCATTTTAAAAGTTTTAATAGAAATATTATCGAATAGATTACGGGGGAGCTCTTTTATCACCTGAAATCTCTCTCTCCCCTCCTCCTCCTCCTCACTCCCCCCCCCTCTTCCTCTATTTAGCTATGTGACTTTGCGAACAAGTTTTATGGCCATACCGCAAATGGTCCTACCTCATCTTAGGTCAGAAAAGGTGTATTTATTGATGCGTTCACGAATGTACATTAAAGTTGCAATTTTATGGACAGAAAATGTGACTTTCGCTCTCATTTATCCCTGGTAAGTTGCGCGTGGAGAAGCAAGTTAAACACTCCGGTAAATTTGCTCCACTAGGCGAGGAAACCCATCGCCATTATTGTCTCTTCTACTTGTTTCGTTTGAAATGCGCTCCGCTTTCTAATTCCCCAAATCAAAGTGAACAAAGTTAGTAAGCTCTAGTTGCTTTTAATTCCTTCAATGTAAAGTAGTGTTAGCTTAGCTCAGATCTAGTTCAAGGTGAGCCAGAAGTGCTTGATCGCTGAAATACTGCCATTTGGTTTTGAGATAGTGGCATTTAGAAAGATCTATTTATTATAAAAGCTATTATTTTAGAAATACATTCATTTGTTGATTTACTTAAATTGATTTCCTTTCGTGTTCAAGAGCAAAAT